GCGTGTCTGCGCTGAGCATCACACCCGGCCCGGGGCGCGTCCTCAGAGCGTCCCTCCTGTTGCCTCCTGTGCCGCATCAGTGCGCAAAAAATGACCGTTTTTTTAACCGGCAGGAGCAAACATCTATCTGGGTGAAAGGTGTGGTTCACAGGGAAGGTCCCACCCGGGTTCTCACCGGGCTCCCGGGTTTGAAAAAAAAGGTTTGAGAAGAGCTGAAAGTCAGAGGAGGGGATTCTCATCTTCGCAGCGTATAAGAGGCGTGAGGAAAGCCCCCAGGCTTGGGCTCGATCGCCGTGCCTCAGAATTCGGTAGAGGAGCTGGTGCGTCTCACAACAGCTTGCTGTTAACTTGCAAGAATTAATATGTAATCGTAAAAAAAGAACACGTGCAAGTGTGTGGTGCACCAAATACGGGAAACCTGTGGTCTCCACCGCTCCCATGTTTTACTTTTCATTCATTCACACATATAGTGAGTAAGCATGGTGCATACTCCTCCTGCTGTGCATTTAGGATTTCATAAGATCTCCATTTAGAAAACATATGACCAGTAACTTTGATTTCTGAGTGGAAGATGGGTGGGTGACTAGTTACACATTAGGAAGCCTTTTGCCAGGGAGGTTGCAAAAGCAAACGTACAAGGAACGGGGGAGATAAAACTGAGTATTGATTAACCGTTCTGAAGGGAGAAAGGCTGTGGTTTCACAGTAGTCTCTACTGCTGTACCAAGAGGTCCTACCTTGACTCACTTCCAAAAAAAAAAGGCTTTTTTAAAAATTCTGATACATTTCCTGATCTGGCTTTCTGCTTGGCTGTCTGTGGATGGGGCAGTAGGGAGGAGGATCAGAAGAGATGGAAGAGAATGGGGCTGCCTATGGCAGCAGTTCTGGTTTGTGGTGCCTTGAAGCAGTTGTGAGAATGCAGCGTGGTGTAGTAGCATGTGGGAGCGATTGACAAAAAGCTGTTTCTGTAATGTTTTGACTTCAGCAAAGTACAAGTGTCAAAATGGACAGAACATGAAAGTGAACATCACGTTTCATTGTTCATGATCACAAACACTCATGTCTGCTGACACTGGCTTCAGAAATTATTAAGGAGCTTTACTAAGTAGACATTTTTAAAAGATTTTTTTTTGTGTTGTGTATGGTATAACACTTGAAAAGTCAGGTTTTGACACTGTCATTTTGGGGACGCAGTTTCTCATTGACAAGTAGGGTCTACATATAAGGTGTATTGGACAAATAACAAAGGTTTAAAGTTGTGAGTGGAAGAAAACTTGCTTTACTTCTTTGTATTACTACTGTTTATGTATATGACCCTTCAGTAGCATTTGCTTTGCAAGGAGATAAGAGTGAACAGGTTAAGTTTTAAGTCTTAGGTCTTTAGGTCTTCAAGCAGGGAACAAGTTATATTGTGATTAGAGCTGTAAACCAAAGAGTTGGGAAAAAGTGCAATTGTCTTTTTGTAACTATCAGTATTTTTTTTTTTTTTTTCCCAGGAAAGAAACCCAGTCTCCATCTTTGGGGAAAGATAGAGCAGATATAGTGATCATCGGAGGTGGTTGCGTTGGTGTGAGTCTAGCCTATCACTTGGCTAAGGCTGGCTTGAAGGATGTTGTTCTGCTAGAAAAATCTGAGCTCACTGCAGGATCTACTTGGCATGCAGTAAGAAATGTTTTGTTAATCTCTCAGATTAACAGCAGTTTGTGTATCTAACGGTGGTAGAAATTTCATTACCTTTATGTTCCCCTGCTTTCCAGAGATTAACCATATTGGCTATTTTATAGATAAAGACTTTAGCACCGAGTTCTTTATAGATTTGCTGTATGTTTTGACAGTTGGCTCAGCTGTCCATAGTACACTTTTCTCATTTGTAAAAATTGGTACAAATACTGTATTTTGAAATTACTGGAAGGTAACAGTAGTACTACATATCTTTGGCAGCTAAGTGGATTTAGACTTTAAACTTCAGTTAAACTTAGACTTTTTAAATTCAAGGTTTTATTTAAAAAGTAATCTGATTTATACTGCAGAATTTATCATTTGAAGTGGTTGCACTGTCATGCATAAACCAGACGTGAAATTTGGCATTACCATATCTGTAATTATTTTTTATATATGTGCCATCATGAAAAAGAAGTAATCATGCAGCAGCATCAGTGTCCAGTTCTCAGAGAATATCACTATCCCAGAAACTGATTCTTATTAGAGGCAAGAGCTTTCTTTCCTGACACCACTGACATTACACAAAATCTTGGAGGAGCAAAGCTAAGAACTGTACACTGGTAATGTTTGTCTGTACTCTAAGGAAAAGAATTAAAGAGACATACATGTAATAATGACAGGGTGGGGACATCTATAATAACGCTAATCACGTGGACATACTGGTGCACATGTATGTATGTAATTACATATTTTCTGTGTCAATGTCTGGAGTAGGTAGTGTAACGAAATGAAATAAAGTTTGCCACAACAATAGATACTTTTTCCATTCATTTCCAGCCGTGCTCAGCTGAAATTGCGAGGATGTTATCCCTGTATGTAGCAATACAAAAGAGTAAAAATCCAACAGTTTGCTGTCTCTAGAACTACTCTATTAATACAATAGAGCATTCATGCAATACTTAAAATTAGAGTATCTGTGAGTGCCTTTCAGGAGCAAATTGAGGAGGATGGCTCTGATGGATTGTATTTGATTTGTATTCTCACACTTTTCCAGGGGAGGAAGTCTGAAGTTTGAAATAATTCACCTTACTGCAGATGTTTTGTGTGTATGGGGCCTTAGGAGAGAACAATAGTAAAAAATTAAATTTAAAAAAAAAAAAATCACTGCCTGAAATGTGTAAGTAGGTTTATAGTTCATTTTACTTGCTTTTCAACAAACAAAGCAAAAGAAAACACGCTGCATGCAGTTAGGATAAACAAAATCCAGTAATTATGCCTCTTTTAGAAAGAATGTTACCACAGGTGATGCAGTTCTGTGAACAGAGCAACACCACGTGGGGTGTCAGATCATGCATCTTGTGTATTGAATCACAGCTATGAAATGCTGTGACTGAAGTATGTGAGTGAGGCATAGACTGAATTCGATTTACCCAGTGCATCTGCAGACCAGTAAGTGTGTAAAAACGTAATAAAAATCCCCTCCTTGAATAAGAAAACAAAATGATGAATGGGGTTTTGTTACTAAATACTTCCTTTGTTCTTGTTGCTATACTTGCTTACTCTAGGTTATTGCTAATAGCGCCCTAAAAGCAACCTCTCCTTCGGTATTTTTGGTCCCACTTCTTAGTGGATGCAGTGATGGAGCGCTGAGTGAGGAACTCCGTTTCAAAAGTAGGGAGAGACCTGGGGCGCAGCAGAGAAAATCCCTGCACTGGGCTATTGAGAGGGCTGCTTTGTGGCGCCTGCTGCAGCAGAATTGGATGCGATTAACACAGCAAGACACCTAGTTATGGGACAGTTAAAAATAGGTAACTGTTAAGTGAACTACAGGTATACTGTCTCTTTCTGTTGACTCAGAGTGCTGTGCCTGAAGATGAAAAAGTTGATGTTTCAGATGATGAGAAAGATCAAAACTGTGACTGTGAGTTCTTTGTTAATCCTATGGCCTGTGCATTTATCAGTGGTTTCCTCACAGTGATACAGATGGAAATTACACGTACAGTTAGCATGTGAAATGACACATAGCTTATTGCCTGCAGCCCCATGTATTGAAAATCTCCATCAGATATTGCTGTACTATACCACATTTTCCCTTTTTCGTAGTCTACTAGGTCCTGCCAGAGCTCAGGATCATGTTTCATATAGATC